TGTAGAGGAGCGTTGATGTTTTCTTTGTTTTTCTCATATTTAATGTTTAAAATTTTTTTCCGAAATATTTTTTTTTATGAACTTTTCAGTCATGTTTTTTTTTTTTTTCATATTCCTCTCTTTCACATTGAATTTTACAAACATTAACATTGTCCAGATCTCCTCTGGGGGCGGGGCTTTCCTCTGAACTGAGGAGCAAAGAAGCATTTTTATTGGTCTGCTGGACGTTGGCAACAACATTCTATTGGTTTAGAGCGAGCGTTTGGATTGTAAGGTGGCGCTAAAAAAAGAAATCTGTGAAAAAACTTTTTAAGTTACATTTTTCAATATTAATAAAGCCTGAGAAAATATTTGAGTTACTTTAAAATCTCTAAATAATTTTTTTTTTTTTTGATTGCGATTTTTCAAATCTCCATTTTCAAAAAGTGCTCATTACTTGATACAATATTGGATCAAAATTCACTCCATATAATATCAGAGGAATGCTTTATCTTTGGTTCTGATGTTTTGATCAACAGTTAAACACCAAAGCTGATTCTTTGATCATGAAGAAATATTTGTCAATAAATCCTGCAGGTTGGGATTATCTCCTACACTGGAAAAACGATCAAGAAATATGTAAACATTTCTTAAGTGTACTTAATTTGACTAGTTAAATGAGACGATTTGCAAATGGAATGAGTAATTTTACTCTTAAAATAAGATATTTAGATCAAATGCTTTTGAAATAAGACAATGTAATTGTGTTTAACTTATTTTGAATGTACCGTAAATGTTTTTGTTCCATTGGCAAAATGTCTCTTTAACCTCTTCAATCCAAGAACAAATGCACTTATTTTAAGAAAAATGACTTATCTAGATTGAGATTTTTTCCAGTGTAGTATTTGCTCTAGAACCTCTGGGAGGATCTAATATGGCCGCCGTCAGTTTCAGTGAAGCACAGATTAATATTTGGGCTCTAAGGTTTGTGGAGCAGAACATTTAGAGTTTATTTTCTTCTCTTTCTCCTGATGGTTGTGCTCAGACCCTCTGGGTGAAGCGTCCCCGGTGCCGCCTACTCCTGACCCCCAGAGGATCCGTCAGCCGTCTGCCAGGGAGAGGAGGAGACTGGCCAAACAAGTGCAGCGCCCCCAGGTGTTCATTATGTCAACCTAAGCCATGAAGTCTCTGCAGTCTTTGGTTCTGTTGGTCCGTTTGTTGAACCGTGATGGTTTTTCCTGTGACCTCCAGGAACCGGCTGCTTCCTGCCAGTCTGTCGGGCCTCAGAGGAGCCGACCTGACCTGTCGAGGATCGGGCTGAACCTGGAGGAGGCAGGCAGTGGACTCAGGAATCGCAGCAGGACCAGCCGGCTGATGGGTCTCAGTCGCCAAGGTAACGCTGCTGGTAACATTAGAACCAGTTTGGGATGTTTTTAAAAGTTTTCATAAGGTGTTTAATTTTACATTAAAGTATATTATTTCAAAGTTATAGCTAAATCATATTTAAATGTCACATCATTCTGGCTTAAACAGGTTTATAAGTGTACTCTTTATCAGATGATATTGTCCCAAAAGTTATAAAATTTCTATTTAAAAAAAAAAAAATCCTGTCTTAAAATCTGTGGGTTTTTTTTTTTTTGTTATCTTCTGCAGGTCAGTTAGTTATACGTCAGCCTGAACACCTAAATTTAATCAATCATATATCAACGGTCATCTGTCAATCAAATTTTTTCGGCCATAGCATCTTGATTCATATTTCGCAGCTAATATACGAAACGGTTGAAATAAGAATCATTTCCTTTCCCATTGAGTTCCGTCCCAGTGTTCACGGGGATGGACGTCTGTGTCTTC